CGTGGCCGTCTCCACCTCGCGCGCCACGCCATAGCAAGCCAGCCCCATGTCGTCGACATACTTGGCTAAGCTCACCTCGTGCCACCGCCCCCGCAGCAAGTCGCAGGGCTCCAGCAGGACCAGGTGCAGGACGGCCAGCGCGAAACGGCTGCCGGGCACGATGGCGGACACCACGGCGACGCACTCGCTATGACAGCCGTCCACCAGGAGCGCCCTGGCGAGGGAGTAACTGGCGAGAATCAGGCGGAGCACGCGCGGGGGGAAGCCCCAGCGTTGACCCCGCCGCCACACGTGCCGGAGCTGGACCTTCTCGAAGCACTTCACCAGGTCAAGCAAGACCGTGGCCACTGCCTGGCCGTCGGGGCCCTCCCCCAACGCCATGCCCTCCTCCTCCACTAGGTGCCGCCACACTGCCTTCTCGGAGGAGCCGCCCCGGCGAGCCCAATCGTAGTCGCGCTCCACCGTGCGCAGCCACCTTTGGGAAACCGGACGGCTTCCCAAAGGCGCACCATCATGGGCATCTTCGCGATCGGCCGCTTGCCGGAATCGGCTTTCGGGATGAGGAGGTACACCAGCAGGGACACCTGGCTCGGCCACATGAGGGAGGCCTCCACCTTGTGCAGGAGGGTGACCATGTCCTCGTGACAGCCCAGGCTGCACTGCCCCAAGGCGCGGGGGTTCCAGCTCTCGACGCCCAGCCCCGTCTTCACCTTGAACTTGGCCGCGGCGCTCAGCAGATCGGGAACGGCGATGGCCGGTAGCGGCTCATCTCGCTCTGCCCCCGCCAGCCACTCTCGCGAGATCTCCTGCACCTCCGCCACGTTCGCCTGCCACACCTGGGACCGCGCGTCCAGCTCCGCTGCGCAGACGGCCTGAGGAGAGCACGACGCGCTGCAATTCCCGCTGGTCGGCGACTGCCAACGCGGCAGTGGGCGAGTGAGTCTGTGCAGGGCGCCCGCGTTTCCTGCCGAGGCAGCCGCATACCTCTGCCGTGCGCCGGCGAGCACGGCAGCAGCATCGGCGCGCGCCGACTTCTCGGCGTCGGCGTCCAAAGTGGCACGACTACGGGCCAGCGATCGCCACGTCGCGCGCCCAACCAGGGACTGGGCAGGCGGCCCGGGCCCAGGGCCAGTCTTGATGGCCCCGGCGATGGCCCGGCAGTAAGCGGCCCACGCCTCCAGCCGCAGCCGCAACTCGTCGAGGATGCGGCCAGCCTCCACGTCCATCTGGACCCATCGTGCCCGCCTCGTGATAGCATGCAGCAGGTCTGCCATCCGCTGCCGCCGTTGCGGGTGGTCGCCCTTCGAGTCAAGAGCAGCTCCCACGTGCCAAAGTTCCGATATCATGGTGCTGAGCGCTCGCAGGTGGTATGTCGCCCTGGACTGTCTGGCCGGAAGCTGTCGGACCCCGCGCACGGGCCTCTCCCGGAAACCCAGCGGCTGGCCCCGCCCCTCATACCGTCGCGCGTCAGCGCCCACCAGATCGTGCAGCCCCAAAATCTCCTGCTCGACCTGACCAATCACTGCAGCGTAGGCCTTGTCGACCTCCAGCTGATTCCCGGCCTCGCCTGAGATCGCAGCGCGGCTGCCCTCTCCGCGAAGGCGTGCGCCAACAGCATGTTCTGAGCGTCCCAGCCCACGGAGTCGACAAAGTAAGCCGCCATGACGACGACTCCGGACCACAGGTTGAGCCACCTCGCCGCGAGGCGGCCTGGCAGCCCAGCAGGGGAGATGTCCTCAACATCCCAGTGGGCCACCACCTCGGATCGCACGTGAGAGCGCACGGCCACCAGCACGCCTGCGGAGGCGAACCGCTAGTCTCGCCCTTCCTGGGATCGCGTCGCCAGCGCAAGGCTGGAGTGCCAACCCTGTGCAACGAGCCTCCGCCGTGGGGCTGCAGCATCAAAGTCTTCCAGCTTGTGCTCCGCCGCGCACGCCGCGAGGACGCGTTTGCCCACGCTCTCGATATAGTCGCCAATGCCGCTCCACGCATTGCCGTTGAACATTGCCACCGTGACAACCTCTGCCGCCGGCATGCGAGCGGCGGCTCCAAACACCGGGGCATGGCCGTGAGGCGGAATCACAGCGCTACCCACGTTTCGCGATTGCTCTCCGGACCCCCTTGTCCACGTGCTTCCGGAAGGCAGCTTGCAGCGCTTTGGTGGCGCCCTCCCGGGTGACGCGGGCTGCGGCGGCGCCATCTCCTGGGGCGCCGCCCTCTGCAGCAGGTGCAGGACCAGGAGCATCGCCACCACGGCCCAACACCTGATCCAGGAGGGCCTCGACCTCCGCCTCGGGCATGTCAGCGTCCTCTTCCTCACCCGGCTCTCCGCCCGGTTGCTCGCCGCCTCGCGCCGGATCTGCGGCTGCCCCCGCCGCAGGGGGGACGGCGTCGGCGACGCGGGCTGCAGAGCCTGCTTCCGCCATGTCCTTCTCGGCCAGCTCCTCCATGGTCTTGAGGCAGGCCTTCCACTGCTCTCCTGATGGGCCTTCCAGCAGGCTCTGGAGAGGCTCGACCAGGGTGCGGAAGGCTGCGGCACGGTCCAACGCAGAGGCGCCCGCCTTGGGCAGCGCACCGGGCACGGAGGCCAGGACGAGCGCGTCCCGCTGCTTCTGCAACTCCGTTCGCTCCTGCCTGGCCGTGTCGCACTCGGTGCGCAGCGAGGCGACCGTCTTCTCAGCCGCTGGGATGGCGACCGACTCCAACCGGACCACCACCTTGTCCTTCCGCTTGATCTTCTCGTCCAGCTCCCGGACTTGGACATGGTAGGGCTTCGCGGCAGACTTGGCGGCCTGCATGCTCTGGAGCTGGCCGCGCTTCTCCGCGCGCAGGGCGTCCATGGCTGGGGAGTCCTCCATGGCCTCCAATGCCTCCAGGTCGGCGCGCAGCTTGGCGATCTTGGCCTGGTCCTTCTGAGGTGCCGTACCCGCATCAGCCGCCCCAGCAGGCATCGAACCTTCGGCCTTTGCCACGGCCGCCTCACGCCTCTTGAGCTCGGCCTCCTTGACCTTACGCTCGCGCTCCCGCAGTGCAACCGCCTGGGCACCAGCAGAAACTGATGGTGAGGGCGGCGCGACCTTCGCCAAGAACACCACGCCCTTGGCCAAGTTGCACTTGAAGCACGACGTGCGGAAACCCTTGTTCTTGAACGGCTTCCCGTCGTGGTCCTTGCACGATTTGCACGTCCACGCATCCGTGCTGCGCTCCAGCCGGTGCCACGGCGCCATCCTGCCAGCGGAGGAGCCGTGGTGCGCGTCCAGCCGCCGTGCAGCGCTGTCCAGCAGCGCCCGCAAGGAAGGCGAGGATCGCCCGGCCCAGGCGTGCAGCAGGGCGCGGTCCGCCGAGCGGCGGAGGCGCGCTCGATGATGAGCGGTGGACTCCCGCGGAGCCGCCGTGAGCGCTGGTCTCAGCGCGCGGTGGGGTTGGCCCCTCGCCTGCCTGGCAGGCGCCCGAAGGGGGCAGCACCTCGCGAGCCGAAACTGAGGGGGAGGAGGAGGAGGGAAGGGAAGGGAGGGGAAAGGAATGGCAATGAAGGGAAGGGCAGGGAAGGGAGGGCACTGGGCGGGACGAGGAGAGGGAAGGAGGAGGAAGAGGGAGAGGAGGAGGAGGAGGGGGAGGAGGAGATGGAGAAGGATGGAAAAGAGGAGGAGGAGGAGGAGGAAGAAGAGGCGAAGGAGGTGGAGGAGGAGGAGGAGGAGGAGAAGGAGGAGGAGGAGAAGGATGAGGAGGAGGGGGACGAGGAGGAGGAGCAGGAGCAGGAGCAGGAGGAGGAGGAGGAGCAGGAGGATGTTGATAAGGAGGAGGAGCAGCAGGTCGAGGGGGGGGGGGAGGAATGAGGCGGGGACGTGAAGTGCTAAGCAGAACTGGCAGGACCCAAGTGCAAGCGTGGCCGCGCGCAGCACACATCGGTCGAGCGGGAAAGACATTCCAGACTTAGGGGGAAGCCCACGACTGAGCTTCGCAAGGGTTTGTCTTCGTTTAGTCAGCAGTGGGGCCAGTGGGAGGACATTCAAGCTTCAAGCTCCGAGCTCTGGCGACCCCGAGCGCATCGCATTCGTCTCAAAACAAGGCGCTGTTTAACCTTTGCGTCGATGGGATTCATGGCGGACAGGAACGAGGAGATGGGCAGACGCGTCGCTGCAATCTCTCCCTCCCCAGCCGCACACGGCCTTCGCCATTGGGTCTGGCAAGATGCCCGAACCGTGGTCCTTGGCACGGCCGTGGCCTGGAACAGGAATGGGATCCTCGGGTACAGTGGAGGCGCGCATCAAGGAACTAACTGCTTTTCGTCAGGGGGCCCTGTAAGTCTTCTCTCTCTATGGTTCGCCTTGGCCGCCCACCGCGCTCTGGCCCTACGCGCCTGGCTGCTGCTGCCCCCCCGGCTGCTCATCGTCGAACTCTTCGGCGTCTGAGCGTCCCTTCTTCTCGGCCGTTCCCCCCCCCTCTTTGCTCGCCGGCCAATTCGCTAGTTAGTGCCCCTGCCTAGCTTCTCGCTTGGGCAGATTTCGCCGCCTCGCCGCTGACGGAGAATCTTCGCTTTCCCGCGGCCGTCGAAGGAACTGCTGCGTTCAGGGCGCTCTGGGCTCACCTCGCATGCATCTCGCGAGAAGGGTTTCAGGGCTGGGTTTCTTGCAAGGGTTTTTTTCTTGCGGCCGCGTCCGCGCTGTGCCACAGTTGGAAGAGGCCGCGCTCGGCCAGAGTCGTCGGAGCTTCGGGGCTGTGCTGGTGCTCGCGCGCACACTCGGCTCGCGCACACTCGGCCCCGCGCGCACCCAGTCACGCCCGACACGCGCACGCTCACGACCACAACTCGTGCACACATCACGACGCACAGCTAACATCCCATATACCAATTCACGATGGGGTTGGGGCGGGCACGTCCCTCTATAGGAATAGTATTCAAAACATTTTAAACAAAAAAGAACAGGGGACGATTTTGGTATTTTTGACTCTGTTTGGAGATTTGGTTTTTACTTTTCACCCGAAATCCGCTTGTAGGGGGGGGCATACCCGACCTAAGGATGGGATGAGTCTTCGTGGTTAGGGGAATGAAGAATGACATAACCATAACAACGCAGAGGTCCGCGCAGATTTCTCGGATCGGCGATGGGGCCCCCTGGCGGCGCCTCCGGCGCCGTCCTTGGCGCGCTCCGCGCGCCAGGGAGGGGGGTCCAGCGCCGATCCGAGAAATCCGCGCGGACCTCAGAGTTTTTATCTTTATGTCAGTGTTCGTCCCCCAAAGCATGTCACGATGGGGCGTGTCTTCTCGGTGGGTGCGGCAAGCCAGCTGATCTGGAACCGTCCCTTTCCTAGCACCTTCAGCTGCCAGGCCATCGGCCACCGCATTCAAGATCCGCTCAACAGGAGTAAGTTTGAGTCGGGCCTGTCTCTCTACAGGAGGAATATTCAAAAATAGTCAAACATAGTTCAGGGACCTTGTTCTTATTATATGTATTGTTTTTGAAAATGTTTGAGTCTTCTTGACTTTTCGTCCAGAATCCGCCTGTAGGGGGACATGCCCGACTTCAGAGTAAGTCCAGGCTGCTCAACTTGAAACGCTGTGGGCTGTGATACGGTCCATCTCAGGTCGGCTACACCCCCCCTCACCTCCAAGATCTTCCAGAGCTCCACCCACACATCCAGCATGTCAGGTTTTGGGAACAGCTCCTTCGGTTTCCGAAGCCCGCGGACCACGGGCAGACATTCGGAACAAATCAGCACCCTGCCAGACGCGCGCCTCAACACCATGACGAGGGCCAGAAGCTCGGCCTTGTCTGAGAAGCCCGAGGCTCGCCAGGGCGAGTTCCAGCGAGGAAGCCATCGGCGGTGAACCTAGGCGGGCACGCGCCCAACCGCATCGCCTGAGCCTCCAATCCTTAGTCGGTCCCCCCCCCGACCCGTCGATCCCCCACAGTCCACCGGGCACGGTTTGCCCGTCTGGAGGGCCCCACCACACCAGATCAGATCAGCGGGCGGCAAGAGATGGCGCCAATCGACCGTGACTTGGGCATGACAGCGGCACCACGGTCCCAGACAAGTAGGCCCCTCTTCCACTGCACGAGCGTGTAGAGACGGGGTGCGTTCCACAGCGGGCGCGCGGATGCGGTCGTTGGACTCACATTCCCAACAGCGACGAAGAGGGGTGTCAGGTGCAAGGCTTCATCTCCAGGCAGATCCCACGGGATTTGGTGTCAAAACCCACTCGCATGCAGACAGCTTTCAGTCAAGAAGCCGCCGGCCCGAATACTTCGAATGATCTCCCGTGGGTCTCATAATCCAGATCCGTGGAAATCTTAGACAACTGCAAAATGCACACAGGTGACAGCGCCTCCATCCTGAGCCCCCTCCCCAGGGTATATACTGATTAGCGGCAGTGCCCCGAGCTTCACAGCGGATTGTCTTCTTTCGCTGCTCCCACAGCCGAACAGGCCAGTCAGGAGCGCCAGCGTGGAGGGCGCCTCCGCCAGGAACAATCCAAGCAAGTGACGTCAGCGGGTGCCAGTCTAAGCCCATGGGGGCAGCAGTCGCGGCGGCCACGGGTCCTCGAATTCGGCCCCAGGCACGCCTCGGCGGTAGACAGGCGAGTTCGTCAGCACGAGAACTCCACAACCGAGAGATCCTCATCTTGCTTTTGGTGTGCAAACTGAACACAACTCCTGGAATCCAAGAGATGTTCGCGCCGCAGACGATAAAAGCGGGATCAGAAGACTCGGTATTCAGGACCGACAGCAGCGTTAGACTTGCCTGACGTCTGGCTCCACCGGTCCGACCACTTAGAAGCCCGTGCGCGGACCGAGAGGACATGGTGAGGCGACGGTCCCGAGACAGTGCGCCCAGGAGGAAGCGGGAAGCTTCCGAAGCCTCTACAGTGTCGACGCCCCTTTCTGCACATACCGGTCAGGTGCGTGTCCTGTCTTGGCTTCCATTTTCGGGGGCGGCAAAGGGTGATGACCAGGGGGGGGGATATCATGGCGTGGGCCATGACATTTCCCCAGATTTCATGGCGCCTCTTCTTATTTCATTACGTCCCTGGCCCCCCCTTGGGCCGCGCACATGCCGCTGGCCATGATTTGCACCCCCCCTCTTGGACGCCCCCCTCTTGGCCGACCCCGACATTTGGGCTCACAGTACCTACTGCACCTGCTGCTGCCTGCAGTCGTCGCAACCCCGAGGCCACGAACAGCATCCTGGGCCATCAAGTCGATCCCGACAGCCCGACGTTGCCGAGCGATGCGGGAACCAGTAGCACGCCTGCTAACTACGATGGCATCTTCGTCAGAAGTACGCACGCGAGTCTTGCCCACAGCATGCACGCGCCAGATGAATAGCAGCGGGGCAGATCGCGCGGTCCACATCGTCGGCGCTCTCCTGCGAATTCTGAGAGAGATCATCCACATACCCCTTGGTGAGGACAGCGGGGGAGAACCTGTGGTGTATATCCTTCACGTGGTCGATCATGGACCCCTTGTGAACGCGAAAGATCCGGCTTTCACGCCGAAGACCGCGTCGGGCCGCTGTCCAGTGCGGCGACGACCGCCGGACGACCGCCGAAGTGCCGCTGAAGACCGCCGAAGGACCGCCGAAAGACCGCCGGAGACCACCGAAAGGTTGCCGAAGTCCGCCGGAGACCGCCGAGAGGCTGCCGAAGGCCGCGTCGGGCCCCAGCGCCCGCCGGCGGGGCGCGCGCTCGCCGGCGGTTTTTTCGGCGGTCGCTCGGCGGGCTTCAGAGGCCAAGCTGCCTGGCGAGGGGTCCATGATCGAACGCGCAATGCCATTAGGTATCTGATGCAGGTGAGCTTCCGTCCATGGCTTACTCTGGGAACAAACCTGGACGGAGCAGAGCCCCCCGTCTCAAGCATCCTCGGAGCTGATGATACTGGTGCTGATGATCATGAAGACAATGATGGTGATAATGAAGATGATGGTGATGCTGATGATGATGTTGATGTTGATGTTGGTGATGATGAGGATGATGATGCTGGTGATGGTGGTGATGATGATGATGATGATGATGGTAATGGTAATGATGGTGATGATGATGAGGATGATAATGATGATGACGATGGTTATAATGATGAGGACGATGACTGTGATGATGGTGCCGATGATGATGCTGCTTATGATGATGATGATGATGATGATGATGATGGTGCTGGAGCTGTTGCTGCTGATGATGATGATGGTGATGGTGGTGGTGGTGGTGATGATGATGGTGATGATGATGGTGGTGATGGTGATGCTTATGATGTAGATGATGACGATGCTGCTGATGCTGCTGCTGCTGATGATGATGAGGATGATGATGATGACGACTGTGATGACTGTGATGGAGATGGTGATGATGTTGAGGCTGATGCTGATGATGATGATGGTGGTGATGATGATGCTTTTGATGATGAAGACGCTGGTGAAGATGATGACGATGCTGATGCTGCTGAGGATGATGATGATGAGGATGCTGATGATGATGACGACTGTGATGACTGTGATGGGGATGGTGATGATGTTGATGCTCATGCTGATGCTCCTGATGATGATGCTGCTGATGATGATGATGGTGATGATGATGATGCTGGTGATGATGATGATGATGTGGAGGAGGAGGAGGAGAGGAGGAGGAGGAGGAGGAGGAGGGGGATGAGGAGGAAGAGGCGGAAGAGGAGGAAGATGAGGAGGAGGAAGAGGAGGAGGAGGAGGAGGAGGAGGAGAGGCAGGAGGCGGTTGAGGAAGAGGAGGAGAAGGAGGAGGAGGAGGACAGGACGCCCGCGAGTGCCTCGTGGCTCGGCGCGCGGAGGTGGTGCCAGCTCGCGTCGTCTTGCGACCTGGCGCCCGGGAGCTCTGGGGCGCAGGTGCTCGCGAGGGAGGACCCCGCCTGCCCCCGCGGACGACCCGGGCAATGTCTAGGAGGAGGGTGGATCGAAGGAGAAGGCCTCCTTCCAGCCTCCTCCTCCCAGCCTCGAAGGAGAAGCCCTCCCCTCCCCTCCCCTCCCCTCCCCTCCCCCTCCCTCCCCCCCCTCCCTCCTCCTCCTCCTCCTCCTCCTCCTCCTCCTCCTCTCCTCCTCCTCCTCCTCCTCCTCCTCCTCCGCCTCTCAAGTACCATATCGGGTCAAGCCAGCTTTGGTTCAAGCTTGCTTGCCCCGCATGTCCCAGGGCTGTACCACCCACGGGTGTGCTTACTTGAGCGCTTTCGGGGACAATAGCTTCGCGGAGGTGAACGCTGGGATTGTGGCTCGGCGCTGTCACGCGTTGGAGGGGGCGACTTGTGGTTGATCTGCTCCTGGAATCCGCTACCGATATCTGCCATGTTCGTGCTCGTGCCGGCTCCGTCGAGGCGGTGTGCATTTTCGGGGCTTCTTTTTGACTTCGTCCTGGAAGTGTTGCCCACGCTATTTATTCATAGCGCTGTTATTATTTTACGTGCCACTGGCCTTTCCCCCTTTTGGGGCGTACGGCACGTCGTTGCAGTGGTGGGATTGTGGCTTTGCCGCTTTTGTTGTCATCATCGTTCCTTTATCTGGGTTCTTGGCGGTGTCCTCATGTGGCTGAGCCTGGCCCAGGCCCGTATGGGCAAGTAAGGTAGACACTTTTTCTTGTTTATACGATTGGGCTTTGCCGTGTGCTTTTTCATTCATCGTTACAGTTCTGAGATGTCAATTTTCACATCTAGCAATTGTGAGGTGTTCTGTATTCATTGCCATCACTTCCAATGGATATTTACAGTGTGGTGGCGTATTGCGTGTCGGCGGAGTGACGCCCATTACCTACGGATGCTCATCGGCACTGTTTCTGGGCCGTCTGCACTGGGCGGGGCGTGGGGCGGTGGCGTATTTTTGCTGTGGTCAGGCGGTTCGTCATCTTTGTGCGGGTCCCTTGGCGGTGTCGGCGTCATGCACGCCGTGGGGCTTTCATCGACATCGCGTTATGCACGGAGTGGTCATCGCTATACCTTCGTTCGAGTATGGCGTTGACGAGGGCGTGGTGCAGCTTATTGACCTCGCGGTGGTCTTCCTCATCTTCGTGGTGATCGTGCTGGCCACGCCCGACGCGGGCTGCTTTTTGCCGTTGGTGCAAAATAAATCCTCCTCCTTCGCCTCCTCCTCCTCCTCCTCCTCCTCCTCCTCCTCCTCCCAGTCTCCTCCTCTTCCTCCTCCTCCTCCTCCTCCTCCTCTGCCTCCTCCCAGCCTCCTCCTCCTCCTTCCTCCTCCTCCTCCTTTTCCTCCTCCTCCTTCTCCTCCTCCTCCCCCCCTCCCTCCTCCTCCTCCTCCTCCTCCTCCTCCTCCTCCTCCTCCTCCTCCTCATGCCAATTTTCCCAGTCACCCCCTCCTCCTGCCAATTTACGTGGCCTCCTCCTCCTCCGCCTCCTTTTCTTCCTCCTCGTCTTCCTCCTCCTCGCCTCCCCCCTCCTCGTCTTCCTCCTCCTCCTTCTGTTCCTCCTCCTCCCCATCCTCGAGAACAAGAAAGCGGCACACACGTATGTTCGAGGGTCGGCGCGGATTTCTTGGATCTGCGCTGGGCCCCCCCTGGCGGCGCCTCGAGGAAGGGAAGGAGGAGAACAAAGTAGCGATACCACTACAGCCAGGACGCTGAAAGAAGGACTTCTTTGGGTTCCGAAGTGGCTCGCTGTTCCTTAAGCTCTTCCATGGTTCTTCCACGATCACTCCTCGTGCACCTAGGCGCTTCTGGAGCCAAAAAGCGGCTTCGTTGCTTCTTTGTAGCGTTCCTTCTGGTGGTATTTCGATTGTGCCCTCCCTCGTGTCGCCACGACCGGACTAGCTTCGAAATTCTGGCCCTGACGCACCCCAGGAGAGGCCCGAGGAGCAGCGACATCGGTATTCCTCCCTCTTCCCCAGAAGCGCAGGAAGAGAAGGAGGAGAAGGGGGAGGAGGCGAGGAGGACTGAAGAAGAAAAACTGCACTACCACTATGGCTGGGGGGGGCGGCTTCCCAGAGAGCCGACGCCCCAGCAACAAATTAGCGCGGGCGGTGTGTGTGTGTGTGTGAATGTGTGTGAATGTGTGCGTGTGCGTGCGCGTGTGCGCGCGTGCGTGCGTTCGTGCGCGCGTGCGTGCGTGCGTGTGTGGGTGTGCGTGTGGGTGTGCGTGTGTCTGTGTCTGTGTCTGGGTCTGCGTCTGCGTCTGTGTCTGCGTCTGCGTCTGTGTCTGCGTGTGTGTGTGTGTGTGCGCGCGCGCGTGCGCGCGTGCGCGTGCGCGTGTGCGTGCGTGCGTGCGTGCGTGCGTGCGCGCGCGTGCGCGTGCGCGTGCGCGTGCGCGTGCGCGTGCGCGTGCGCGTGCGCGTGCGCGTGCGCGTGCGCGTGCGCGTGCGTGTGCGTGTGCGTGTGCGTGTGCGTGTGCGTGTGCGTGTGCGTGTGCGTGTGCGTGTGCGTGTGCTGTGTCTGTGTCTGTGTCTGTGTCTGTGTCTGTGTCTGTGTCTGTGTCTGTGTCTGTGTCTGTGTCTGTCTGTCTGCGTCTGCGTCTGTGTCTGCGTCTGCGTCTGTGTCTGCGTGTGTGTGTGTGCGTGTGCGTGTGCGCGTGTGCGTGTGCGTGTGCGTGTGCGTGTGCGTGTGCGTGTGCGTGTGCGTGTGCG